ACTTCATTCTGATTATGACTACCTATACTTCAGAGAGGTTGGCTCAGATATACATTCGGGAGATAGTTCGGTTACACGGTGTGCCTGTTTCCATCATATCAGATAGAGGCCATCAGTTCACTTCCCAATTTTGGAGAGCCATACAGAGTGAGTTGGGGACCTGGGCAGAGCTCAACACAGCATTCCACCCGCAGATCGACGGGCAGTCGGAGCAGACAGTTCAGATTCTGGAGGACATGCTTAGAGCATGTGTGTGACTTTGGAGTGTAGTGGGATCAGTTCTTGCTTTTGGCCGAATTTGCTTACAACAACAATTATCAGTCCAGCATTGAGATGGATCCATTTGAGGCTTTATATGGTCGGCGATACCGTTCTCCTATTGGGTGGTTTGAGACCGGCGAGACTAAGTTGTATAGTACAGATTTGGTGAAAGATGCCTTGGAAAGGGTAAAGTTGATGCAGGAAAGACTTCGCACATCTCAGACCAGACAGAAAAGTTACGCAAATCAGAAGGCACGTGATGTATCATTCATGATCGGTGAGAAAGTTTTCTTGAAAGTTTCGCCGATGAAGGGTATTATGAGATTCGGGAAGAAGGGAAAGTTGAGCCCAAGGTTTATAGGCCCATTTGAGGTGTTGAGGCAATTTGGGGAGCTTGCTTATGAGCTTGCTCTACCTCCCAGCCTATCTGGAGTTCATCCAGTTTTTTACGTGTCTATGCTTCGGAGGTATCACACTAACTTATCCCATGTGTTAGACTTCAGTACTATCCAGCTAGATGAGAGTTTGGGCTATGAGGCGGAGCTAGTTTCCATTGTTGATAGACGGGATCACCAGTTGAGATCCAAGAGGATTTATGCGGTAAAGGCCCGGTGGAGGGGCCAACCAGTCAAGGAAGTGACCTGGGAGTCTGAGGAGGACATGTAGAGCAAATATCCCCACCTTTTCCCTAGCTCAGGTACTTTTCTATGTCAGGTGGAGAATGTAACGACCCGATTGGTCGTTTTGCTTTCTAGAATCCTGTTCCCCTAAATAAGAGACCTAACTGATTTTTTTGATTTCTAGAATTATGTTACCCTAAATAAGACTTTCCCTACTTGCTTTAACTAATTTATGAATTGTGGGGGTAGTTGGTTCGGGATTTGGAAGAGTTTGGGTTGAAATCGGAACATTTGGTTCCTTAAGGTTGGCTTAAAAGGCCAAGTTTGACTTAGGTCAATATTTTTAGTGAACGGACCGGGAATCGTATTTTGGTAGTCCTGGAGGGTCCGTAGTAAAATATGGGACTTGGACGTATGCCCGGAATCGAATTCCGATATCCCTAGCCCGAATAATGAAGTTTTGTTAAAAATTATTAAATTGAAAATCTAAGGATTTAAAGAAAATGAATAATGTTTGATCATGTTATATCAGGCCCGTATGTTGGTTTTGGAGCCCGGTATAGGTTAGTTATAATATTTAAGTCATGTCTGTAAAATTTGGTGAGAAAAGGGACAGATTTGATGTGATTCGGACGTCCTGTTGTAAAAATAGGAATTTTAAATGTTTTTAAGGATTTCATGCGTTTTGGTGTTAAATCCGTAGTTTTAGGTGTTATTCGGCAATTTGATCACACGAGAAAGTTTGTATGAAGTTGTTAGACTTGTGTGAGTATTCAGAGTGGAGCCCCGAGGGCTCGGGTGAGTTTCAGATGAGTGTTGGGAGTGAAAACACTCTAGTGTTTTTGGTGTTTCCGGGTAGTGTTGCGGGTCTCGCAAATGCAAGGAATTGTTCGCATTTGAGATGACCGCATTGCGAGGAAAGCTTCGCAATTGCGAAGGAACCTGAGCTGGGCAGTCGTCGCATTTGCGATATTTCGTTCGCATTTGTGAACCCAGCAGGGTCCGTATTTGCGACCCTTTTGTAGCATTTGTGACCCTTGCAGAGGATACCCAAGTTCGTATTTGCGATGATTTTAATGCAATTGCGACCTTTGCATTTGCGAACCTGATATCGCAAATGCGATATTTATTTCATTTAAAAACGGGACTTAGGCCATTTATTTCATTTCACTTCTAAACTTTGGCGATTTGGGAGCTTTCGAAGAGGGGATTTCAACCTAGCATTGTGAAGTAAGTTATTTCCACTTAATGTGAGTTTAATACTTGGGTTTTGGGTAGATTAACACATAAAAATTATTGAAAATCATGGGATTAGAGTAAAACCTAGGGTTTTGATAAAAACAAGATCTAACCACGAAATTTGTTATGGAATGGAGTAAAAATCATATATTCTTGATCCTTAGGTTATGGGTAACAACTTTCTTTAAAAAAAATTGGAATCTGGGCACGTGGGCCCGGGGATAAATTTTAGGAACTTTGTAATTAGGGTTGGAAAATTACTCTAATAGCTGGAATATGAACTCTTGAGCTTGTGTTGACTAGTTCTTACCCCGTTTGATTAGTTTTGGATCGTTCGGCTCCAAATTGAGGGTTTTGAGCACATTCTTGAATCGAGATATAGGCTTTGGGACGAGGTAAGTCTCTTTTCTAACCTTGTACGGAGAAATGTCCCCATAGGTATACTTAATTAATATATGATTAATTGTGGGGACTACGTACGCACGAAGTGACGAGAGTCCGTACGTAGCTACTATTCATGTTATGTACGGGTAGTTCTAGAATCACATCATGCTTCGTGGTCGCTATTGATTGCTTATATATGCTAATGGTATGAACTGAAGTAAGTTGAAGGAAATCTAAAGATTTACGGGCTTCAAGTGAATTGTATTCATTTTTGTAAAAAGGGAATTAAAGAATTTTTGTGTTTAAATGATGAAAATTATGTTTACCGCATCGCACGTATGATTTGCGAGCGGGGTTATGTTTTTACTGCGTCGCATGTATGATTTGCGAGCGGGGTGGATAGATGCATCTATGTTTCGTGTCGTTCGACCCTCGGTTGTGCACACTTTACTTTTATGTTGGATCGGGCCGATCGTCCTCGGTGGTATTTGTGTGTGATAATAGAACTGTAACCCTTATAATTTGTATGACTTATTGCTGGAAAGGTCACTAATTTAAATGAGAAAAGTGCTTAGTTTTATTAATTGGATGAAAGGATTTTCAATAATCATCCTTGTTTGAGCTTGTTGTTATCTACATGCACTGTGAATGAAATATGTTGAACTTCATATTATTATATTTGCTGGCCTAGCAAGCGTCGAAGTCGACCCCTCGTCACTACTTCTACGATGTTAGGCGAGATACTTACTGGGTACATATTTTTATGTACTCATGCTATGCTTATGTACTTGATTGTACAGGCTTTGAGGCAAGTGCATCTGGCCATCAGTCCGGCGCATAGAGTGGTCATCTCAGCTCGAGATTTTCCGGTGAGTTGCCCTTCCCAGCCGATCTGCAGCAGTTGGAGTCTCCCTTTTGTCTTTATGTTCCTGTCTATTTCTATTCGAGACAGTAGGATAGCATGGTTTTGTATATTTTACTAGATTGCCCACACACTTGTGACACCAGGTCTTGGCACACATTAGTAGAATTATGATGTTTTGGCTTGTCTGCATGATTGAGATTCGCATTTATTCCTTTCACTTAAATATGCTTAAGCTTTAAAAAATTATAATTTTCTTAAATTTATGAAGGAAGTTATCACATACTAACTACATAAATGAGGATTTACTATACAATCAGTGTGGGCTTGCCTAATAACGGTGTTGAGCGTCATCACGGCCTAATATGAAATATGGGTCGTGACATCAGCAAACATTAATTTAACCATTTTTTGGACCATTTTTTTGGAAATATTGCACTTTGCCCACAATTATTCTTGTACAAATAATTTGATATATCCCTCATTGAAAGGCATCTAGAGCCTTTGTAAAGTGCCAATGTGGAATAAATAACTTTCTCAACCTGCATAATACGAACAAGCTATTGCAACGATTAACAAATAGAAAGTCAACGAGTTGGAGGCAATTTTATCATACTATCCCTTTCAATTTTGTAGCTGTTTCTTATTTTACGAGCTAAATCAACCTAAAGATAAATTAGTTCACGGTATAGCTTAAAATGTTTAAGTTCAACGAAAATTGAAAAGACACATTTGAAGACCTCCCCAAATCATTTAGTATAAATTTTATTGGTAAAACTAATCACTACTACTTATTAATTCACAAGAGTAATACGATGAAACCATAAAAACTATCATATACTTCTAAAGAAGCTTTTGATGTGTACAGTCTGATGATAATATTGAACGTGTATGGTTTTAACCAAATGGCACCTAAGTTCAAAAATTCAATTTTATTTTTGCAAACTCAATTTAGAATTTTTATTTAACCAAATCCCACCTAAGTCTTTTTCAGTACTATAGCAACTTGAGATCATTAAGTAAGATTTTGTATGTATGCTAGCTTTTTCTTTATCGTCTTTCACTTAGTTTACTTCTTGTTCTGAAGACCTAAAGTTGACTCGGACTATTTCAAAGGGTGAAAGTTCCTTGACATCCCACATAATCTTTTTAAAACCACAATTTCTTGGTGTTCC